AGCAACAGGGGACCCAGAGAAATCTTGGAAGGCTTTATAGAGGAGGTATCCTTTGTAATTGAAGGATGCTTTGAGTTCTGGAAGGCAGCTGAAAGCATTCCGCTGTGAGGGGCCATCTCATGCTGAGGCTCTGAGGCATGGACGTTCCTGAGTCATCACTTGCTGGGGGTCACATGATCTTCAGTGGAGAACCCACCTCTAGCACTATGTTCATTCCTGTCATGTCCTTTTCTGTTGTTGATTTATAAGCACTCTTTATATATTAAGCACACCAATCTTTTTTATAAGAAATGTTTTCATTTACTGTTTTGGCTTATGATGGATTTTGGTAAATTTTCCTGCCTTGTCTTTCATGGTCTTCCTTGTCCCAGGCTGTTCTTGTCACTTTATCTCAGGTCTTTGCTCTCCTGTGAACATGCTGGGTGCTTAGGAAATGTCTGAGACTCCAATTAAGTTGAAGCTTGAAAAATTACAGCTTTAAGAAAAATAGAGGCCACGGTGCCTTTGCTCACTGTGTACCTCCCCCTGGGGTTCCTTCCCATTCTTTCCATCTGTTCATTCCTTCCTGCCTGGAGTGAGGTCCAGCCCAGGCCCTCTAGGGACCTATTGCCCCCTCTCTAGAGTGAGTCGGGGCTCAGATATGTGATGATGGGAGGCGGTGGGGGACCAGGAAATCTCCAGCTGGGCAATCTCCACGTATTAACTTGATGAAACCCCATGAGATGGATACCATTACTAATCCCATTTTACAGGTCAGAAAATGGGCTCAGAGAGGTTATATGACTTGGCCAAGGTCACACAGGAAGGGACAGAGATAGGATTTAAACCCAGGCCATTTTGCCCCAGAGCTCATACTTTCAGATTTCCTTCTGGCACCTCATTGCCGTTGGGATCAAGTCTAAGTTCGTTAGTATGATATCCGGTGCCTCTCAGGTCCTCAGTTTCTTCATCTGTCAGGGTCACGCCTTGGCCCCAGAGCCTATGCACACAGGCACTTCTCTGTTAGTAGGGTGATGAAGTGTGTCCCCGCCTGTCTCTCTACACCCTCCTCAGCCCCAAATCCCTTAGGATCCTGGAATGCTGGGTTTGGAAAGGCCAGCCCTGGGGTTGTAGATAGGAACAGGGAGGCTCAGAGGCGGGGAGAGCCGTGCCCAAGGCCCAGTGTGTGAGGAGCAGAGTCCGATGTGCATCCCGATCCGTGGGACTCTAGGTGCCTCTCACGGCACTGCGGTCCGTCTCAGGCTGGGCTTTCTCCTGCTGCTCCCTCCAGGAAGCCCCCCTGAACCCTGACTGTGTTAGACGTCTCCCCTGGGCTCTGAGGGCTCTGACTGTGGCTCTGATCCAGCCTTGTTGTGATTGCTGGTTTACTCACTGTCTCCCTTGCTTGGCAGGGTGCCCCACGGGGGCAGACATTTGCTGGTCCATCCAAGTCACTGGTGCCCAGCTGAGCGCGGCACGAGCAGACCTTCAGGAAAGGTTGACTGCAAGAGGGAGGCCCAGAGAGGGACAGACCCCTGCCCCAGGTCACACAGTGAGTGAGAGCTCTCACTGGGGCAGAGCTGGGAGCCCATGAAACCCCTAAGACCCTTTAGGTCCCATGTGCTCCTGGGCCGGGAGATTAGGGACGGAGCAGTGTGTATAATGGCCACTCTAGTGGAGAGCTCCCAGGGGCCTCTGTCCTCGGCTACTCCCACAGGCCTGGGGCCAAGGACACCCTGTGTCCCTCCTGTCCCCACCTGCTCTAGAAGGATGTTCTCAAGATAAAAATACCCTCTGAAACATTCCCCAGTGTCTGGCATGAGCTGTCGTCCATCCTGGGGGCCAGAACCTCCTGCCCCGGCTTCACCTTGGGGCTCAGAAGGCAGATGTCCACTTCCCCTGGCCATTTGGCCCAGCCTGTCCCTGGGATCAGGGTGCCCAGCCCCTGTCACCAGGCCGTGGACCGTGAGGGGCCTGCGGGCTGCCGGCGGCGGCTGCAGCCAGCATCTGCTGGGCCCTGCCTGCCGGCCAGAGCCGTCGAGGCACAGAAGAAGGAGGCAGCCAGGCTCCTGCTTCTCCTGCTTCCTTGCCTCTTGGGGTGCACTTGGAGAGGGCCCGACGGGACTGCGTGGGAGGGCCAGGGGTACACATGCCACCTTTCCATCCTGTCGGGAATCCCCACGTCTGCTCTCAGAGCCGGAAAGAGAACCCTCCAGAGAACCCAGGAGGGGCCGGCCCTTACCCTGGCTCTGCACCGGGGACAGGGCTTCCCTTTACTCCCCTGACAGTGTCCTGAGGTCGGTGGGGTCTACCTCTTTTGCAGATGAGGAGACCAAGGCCCAGGAAGGGCCCTTCGTGAGCGGGGGTCAGCCGGGCCTTGGATTAGGGAATCGGGGCTCGCGGGCCCCCTGGGGCCCGACCCCAGCGGAGGCCTGTGGGCCGTGAGCATGACAGCTACCTCCTCCCAGAGCGTGGCTGTTCCAGGCCGCGTGCCCAGAGCGCACCTCCCTCAGCCGCTGGGCAGGCGTCATCAGCCCATTTTGTGGAGAAGGAAGCTGGGCCTCAGGAAGGGGAAATGCCTTGCCCTGTCCCCGGGCAGTTCCAACGCCAGCCTTGGCCAACACACTGGCCCCGGCGGGGGAGGGGGGCAGCTTCAGTGTCCGTCCGGGCCCTGCCCTCGCTGGCTGGGAGTCTGAGGGCCAGTCTGGCCTGTCTGGGCTCGGGCTGCTCCCATGTTATGTGCAAGCTCCGCCCCGCCCCCCAACCTCTCCTATCTGGGCCCGTGCCCGTGACCCGGGAAAGCATTTGGAGAACTTCAGAGGTTTGAATTCCCATCATGGGCTGCTGTGGCCACCCCAGAGTGGCAAGGGGGAGCACCTGACAGGGTGTCCAGAGACCTGGGTTCCTGTCTCCAAACTGCCACTCACTCAGTGGCTTTGTGACCTTGGGCCAATCACTTCTCTGCTCTGAGCCTCCGTTTCCCTGTAGAATGGAGCTAATTTGTGCCCCCCTCACAGGTGAGAACACATGGGATTGGATTTGTGGGTCTGGAGAAAGCCCCTTTAGGACCCGGGGCATCAGAAACCAGGCTGAGAGAGCCTGGGGCAGGCAAGTGACCAAGAGGAAGTAGGGTGGGGCAGACTGTCTCGCATCCTTCTCCCTAAACTCCTTTGGCTCCCGTTGCCCTGCGACATCTCCTTTTTTGGAGTTCCAGCTCCAGGTGACCCAGGGCAAGTGACTTAGCCTCTGTGAGCCCCAATTTCCGTGTCTGTCCGGCAGGGAGAAGCATCGTTCACTCAAGGTGAGGCTGTGAAGGGTGCAATAACTGATGTCAGGAGCTGAGCCCTCAGGGCCAGGCACAGTGTAGGGCCATTCAGGGGGAAGGGCAGAGATCAGGGACTTGGGCACTAGTCCTTGCCATGGAGATTCCCAGCCGTGTGATGTGGGTCTACAATGGAGCCTCCCTGAGCCTCAGTTTCCCCATCACTTCGAGAGTGTCAGGGCTAAGAGAGGAACCCTGCAGACCCATAGCTGCTGCTCAGGGAATGATGAAGGATGGGGAAGCAGGGGGCTGAGGACTGGGAGTCTTGAGGTAAGAGCCTGGAAGGAGAAGAGGGACCAGCAGGACATTCCCTTATGGAGTAAGCAGAGGCCCAGAAAGGGGAAGCGAGTCACCCAAGGTCTCACAGCTTGTGACTGGCAGAGGATTTGAACCCCGGTCTGTGTGCCTCTAAACCCACCGCTGTCACCTGCCCCAGGAGGCTTATGATGTGGCGGTGACTCACCCACAGTTCCCTTGATCCCAGCCAGAGAAGCCAGTGCGACAATGGATGGCAGCCAGCTCAGCTGTGAAGGGGTGGGACTCTGTGGCCTCAGTGGCCGAGAGGTGGGGGAAGGTGAGAAGGGCCTCTCAAGTCGGCTTGCCTCTGGAAACTCACGGAGCACCTTCCTGCCACACTGTCCTCCGATCCCCACAGCACGCTGGGGAGAAAAGCAGGGGCCCCTTTGACAATGGGAAAAGTGAGGCTTATGGGTTGCTGGGACCACATAGGATGCGTGTATGCCCAAGGCAAGTGTCTGACAAGTTACCGACGTGCACCCATCCACACACACATTTATCCACCCGTCTACTCATCTGTCTATTCATCTATCCCGTTCACCCAACTGCTTCATCCATCCACCCATCCATTCGTTCACTTGCTCATCTCCCCACCCACTCATCCATCTGCCTGTCACCCACCCATCCAGACACCCACCCATCCATCCGTCCATCTATAATCCACCCACACACCCACCCACCCATTGGGAATCCACCCACTCACCCACCCATAATCTACCCACCCATCCATCCATAATCCAGCCATCCAGCCGTCCACACACCCACCTACCTAACCATAATTCATCCATCTATCCATGATCCATCCATCTGTCTGTCCTTCTGTCCATCCACACTTGAACCCCATGGTTGGCATTGGGAAGGCTCTGCAGGTGGTGGCTAGGAGCCTAGGTTAGGGACCTGAGTTCCTCTGTGACCTTAGGAACATTCCCAAACTGCCTACCTCTCTGGAATGAGAACAGCAATAGTTCCAACCTTGGGGGGTTGTTGTGAGGATTACATGAGCTGATGTAAGGATGGTGGTAGGTAAGATTCACTTTGGCTGTGATTTGGGGGTCAGACCACATGGGGCAGAGGGGTACCACAGAGGGGTAGGTAAGGAAGGTCCGTAGAACACCTACCGCAGTGTCTGCAATCGGTAGGCACTCCGTAATTATCAGCTGTTATTTTCTCTGGGGACCCATCTTGTTCTGCCCTTCTTTGCTTCTGAATGGTTTTATAGACAGACTCACAAGCTGCGCACGTGTAGGCATCAGGGGTTTGGGCTGGAGGCCTCTTCCACCTCCCACGGGACCCCGAGGGAAGCAGCAGAAATGTGGGTTTAGGTGGAAATTTCCGACTTTGGAGCCCTTGTGAGGAGAGCAGCCTCATCTACAGTAACTTGGCTTTGCTCTGTTAACTTTAGGGTCTTCTAGCGACCGATTCCTCTCCAGCTGGGGTCTGGGAAATGGCAACCACTGCTGACACAGCCTTGAAGACAGCCACTTGCCCGCTCAGCACCGTTACTTAGAAGATAGCATTCAAGAGGTAAGATGAAGGTCACTGATGTACATCTATCCATCTAGTCATCCATGCAACGAAACACTTATCTGTCTACTTACCTATCCACTCACCTCTCCAGCCTCTCAGTCACCCATCGTCCACCCACTAGCTCCACACATCCCCCCAACCATCTGCCATCCGCCTATCTGTCCAGTCCCCTACCCAATGCATCCAGCCATCTTTCCTTCCACGTATTCACCCATTTCCCAACCATTCACCCACCATCCCAGCCATTCATCCATGCACCCAAATACCCATCTGTCCTTCCATCCACCATCCATCCATCTAGTCATCCATCTGTCTGCCCACCGACCCATCCATCCATCTGTCCATCTCTTCATCCACCTACTAATCCATCCACCCAATTCATCGAATTATTTTCTATCCACCTAACCCATTCATCTTTCTGGCTGCCACCCATCTACGCATCCATCCATCAGTCCCATTTACTCATCGTGCGCTCAACCACCCACCTGTGCATACATCTCTCACCTCATACATCAATCCATCGTGTTCCTCATCCATCTCCTACTCTGCTGCATATTCCCTCATCCTTTTGTCTGGTCAGTGAGCATTTCTTGGGTGTTCCCTCTGTGCCAGGCCTGTACCAGCCTCTCTGGACCTCTGAGGTTGGCCAGAGATGGGGCCTGGGCAAGCTCAACTCTTACTTAAGGTAGAAGGTAGCTTCTGGCCATAACAGGAAAAGCCCAGGGCCAGAGGATCCCAAAGGGTTCTGTGGGAGTGGTGGCCTTCAGCTGATCCCTGACAGATGGGAGGATTATAAAGATGCACTTTGGCTGTGATTTGGGGGTCAGACCACATGGGGCAGAGGAGTACCACAGCACAACCCAGTAGAGGCCTGTTGGTGTGTCCAGACAGGAGTGGCCTGGACAGGAGGGAGGACATAGGTCAGGAAATGGTGGACAGCTTTGAGAAATCAGGAGTCAAACCACACAGGACCTGGTGAGGGAGTGGATATGGAGGCTGAAGGAGAGAGAGAGGAGACCAGGCTCCTGGCTCAGGCACCTGGGGAAGTGGTCAGGTTGCCAAATGGCTCTATGAGGAGGGACAGGAGGGGAGGGTGAGGATGAGGAGGGGCAGGAGGGGAGGGTGAGGAGGAGGAGGGGCAGGAGGAGGGGGATGGGAGGACAGAGAAGGAAGAAAGGAGAAAGAGGGGGAGGAGGAGGGGGAGGAGGGAGAGGGGAATGGGCGGAGGGCTGAGGTTTGGGAGAAGAGGAGGAGCCATACTGACCACATGGTGCTGCGGGACATCCGGCAGAGGAGGCTCGGGTCTGGGGAGGCAGCACAGACCAGGCCTGTCAGGGGTGGGGCTGCCCCTCAGGGAAAGCTGCTCTGGGGCATTGGTTCCCTGGCCTGGGTGCTGCGTGAGCCGAGGGCGAGCCGGCGGCCGGAGAGAGCTGGGGGGCGGAAAGACTAGGGCTAGTGGCGGGAAATGGAGCGGGCGGGCCCCGAGGCGGGGAGGGCTGGGGGCACAGGCTGTTTCTCTCCTCGCGCCCAGCATGCGCTTGGCACAGAAAACCTGCACTGTGTTGACCCCGGCTGTGTGCAGGCCATGGTGTGGGCAAAGGGCGTCTGCACACTGGGGAGGGGAAGTTGGCGTGGAAGGGGCAAAGGGGATTGTCATCTTCTTCCCCATTGTGAGAATGGAGATAGTGCCCCCAGCCCTCCATCTCCCCTCCACGCCAACTCTTGGCCTCCTCTCGGGCCTGTGGTGCGCCAACATGTTCGGCAACCCCCACCCTGGCTGGCTGTCTGTCTGTCTGTCTTATCGCCACGCGGTAGTGCCAGGGCCTGAAGGACTGAGACGGGCACTCAGTCTCAGGCCTGCCATCTGGCCCTGGGGCCTGGGGGTGATGGGGGTCGGTTTGTCTCCCACCCTCTAGACTGGGAACTTGCGGCTTAGTGGCCGTGTGACCCTGGGTCTGTGACTCAGTCTTCCTGAGCTTCAGTTTCCTCATCTGAAAAATGGGGATAATAGTCATAAGGTTGCTGAAGGGATTCAGTGAGATCATTGGAGCTCTTAGACCCCGGCTGGGCATGGAGTGAGCGCGCAGCAGGGATTGATCACTCTACTCCTGACTCTGCAAGCACTCTGGCCGGCGGAAAGGCCAGGGCGGGGGGGGGGGTGCTTGAACCCCTCCCACTCTTGTAGTTAGTGTTTTCTTGACATCTGAGACTGAGGGCCCCCGCCTTGCCCTCTTTCCCTCCCGGATGTCACTGAAACCTGAGGTGCCCAAAGCCTCGGGACGGGCCATGCAGTGTCCTGCTCCATCCGGAGGCACCTCCCGGTGACTTTTGGGCCCCACCGTTGGGTCATGTGGTAGCTGCCTCTCTAAAAGCTCCCAGTCCAGGCCCTGTCGTGCCCTGAACGCCCTGGTGGCCTGGAGTCTGTCTGTGTCCACAGAGCTGTGGCCGGCAGGGAAGTGGGCTCAAGAGACAGCAGGGCTGGGGACAGCTTCTCCATCTCTCGGAGGCGTGTGGGTCTGTGCTCTCCACCACCCCTTCTCTGTCTGCTGGACTTGCTTCACTCCCCGTCTTCAGTGTCGAAGTCACCTCGTCTAGCTCAGGTAGCACACCCCGGGGCCTCCGTCCCGGTCCCCTCCAGACAACACCTGGGATCCCCACTGGCCGACCTGGGCATCTGCCAACAGTGATACCAACTGTTGACTTTACTGTCTCATCCAAGCCCCCGAGTTACTTTGTGACCTGGGACAAGTCTCAAATCTATGAAATGGGGAGCCGGCCTCCTTACTTGCTGAGGGCTCTTCTAGCAAAACGAATCTATAGCATTTCTTATCTGATCTAACTATACGCATCCATTGAGCAAGAGTCAAACAGGCCTGCGTATCCCTGGTTGAGGGTATTGTCCCACATTTCTTCAGTCGAGTCTTTACAGACTCCAGAGCTGCATGACCTTCTTGCCACACCTGTGTTTGTGTCCACGGAGTGCGCTTGGGATGTTTGGCAAGTTTGCGGTGCTGGGGTTTCTACTCATGGGTCCTCTTCTGGATCTTTCTTTGTGGTGATGCATTCACCAAGAGCCTGGGAGAGGCTCCCCACACCCCTGACATCACACACACACACACACACACACGCACACATGCACACACAGGGCAGAATGGGGCCACAGGAAGCTGAGGACTGGACTGATACCTGGAGCTCCAGCTCTATCTCTAATCCTTAGTTTCTGGGTCACTTTGGATAGTGACTCTGCTCATACTCTCAGTTTCTAGCTGAGAAACGGGAGCAAGGTGTGAACGTGACCTTGTTGATTTTTTCTGTATGGTTTGGGGAGGAACATCAGCAGAAGAGGGGTTTCCCAAGCCTGTGTGACACAGTCTGGGCGGGTCCCAGGTACCCAGCCCAGGCAGACACACCAGGAGTCACTGTAGCTCCCTTACTGGCCTGGGAGCTGGCCGGGTGCGAGGCTCCCCAGCTGGTGGGAGCAGCACGCCAGGCTGGGCTCTCCGGCCTTTGAGTCTTCCGATTCTGTCCCTTGCAGGCCTCGAGCTGCTCAGAGCCCCAGTTGGAGCAGCCATGACCTGCTGGACGTCCCTCAAGGCCTCCAGGCCACATAAACCCGCCCTCTGCGGGCCGGTGGCCTCCCGCCGGCATCTAAGTACCCGGGGTCCTGGCCACCTCTGCCTGGAGGGTCCAGGAATCTGGGGCTGAGCCATCTTCTCGGCGCAGTACTCGGGGCCCCCACAACCGCCGGCTGCCTGCCTCCTGGCCTGGGCGGAAGCAGCGTCCACCATTACAGCCCTAGGCCTCGGCACCTCAGACCCATGGTGAGGGGGTCAGCTGGAGTAGCGGTGGGGGGAGGATGGCCGTGTGAAAAGAGGCCCCCGCAGAGCCTGAAGTCCCCAAGGCAGGAGACCTCGCATTAGACAAACCGGTTCGCATTTCAGCTCTCCTGCTTACTGGCTGTGTGGCTTTGGGGAAGTCACTTAACCTCTCGGAATCTCCGTTCAGAGTAGAGGTAATGGTAATGACAGTAGTCACCTTCTTGGGGTTTTGAGCGGAGAATCTAAGACCGTTTGCTGATGGGTGTGGCCTGCTCCCTCTGCACTTTGAGGAGTGGGCAGGAAGAGCCACGACCGTTATATACGTGCCAGCTCTGGGGATCCAGAAGCACCTGGCAATGGAGACAGACCCTAGGAGGGGTTTGCAGCCTGGCTGCTCATGCGGACTTCTCCCGCACCTGTCTCCCAGGTGTTTGAAGCAGAGGTCAGATGTCATGCTCCCTCCGAGGCCCTGGCTGCACCTGGTCACACAGACCGGGGCTAAATCCCAGTGTTGCCTCCTCCCGGCTGTGTCACTTCCAGTGTCTGGGTCTCTGGTGGGTGCCCAGCCACCTGCCTCTCTGCCTCTGGCCCGGCTGCCCTGAGACCTCCTTACCTGGGGCTTCATTGTCTTCTGGGCACTCAAGGGCTCCCAGCCTCGTCTAACACTGGCCTCCTAGTGTGACCAGGTGGGTATTAAGGGTGGATGGGGTCCTCATTGGTGGGGAGGAATATGCCCAATTCGTCAGCGCCCTGGCCAGGCCTGCCGGCCGGGGGTTGTCCCCCTCCTTCCAGCCCAGCCCCGCTGAGCCAGGCTGAGGGCCTGAGCACTTGCGGGCCTGAGCACTTGCAGCCCTGATGCTAATGGCCAGATGGCCTCAGTGCCCACAGGGCCAGGCGGCACCATGGCCTCCGGCCTGTAGATGCCTCAGCCTGGCACCAACAGGCCAGGCCGGAGCCAGCGGGGCACTGGGGAGGGGCAGCTGCCGGCCTGTCTGGGGGCTGAACCTGTGCTATGGGCCAGGAGAACAGTGTTTGTCCGGCTGTGGGTGTTACGCCGTGGGACATGCCTGAGACTGCTTGGTGTGTGTGAGTGCGTGCGTGCGTGTGTGCGCCAAGCCCACCGAGTGCTCCCCTGGCTGGGCCAAGGACGGAGACGCTCCTGAGTACCCCCTACGTGCTGTCATTACAGGTGAGAAAGGCAGCGAGGGGGAGGTCCCTGGGCTGGGGTCAGTCAGTGATCCCTCTGGGCCCTGAATCGTGGACCCCCTCCGAGCTACCGATGGGGAGGCAGGGGGCGTGGTGTGTGGGTGCTGAGAGTGGGTGCCTCGGGGCGGAGCGCTTGAGCATCTGCAGGGTGTCTTCGGGGCCAGGCTCTGTTCGAAGCCCTGGAGGTGAGACAGCAGTGAACCAAACAGGGAACTCACAAGGCTCTGGTGACCAGTGGTCTCATGGTGGGAACGGCCCTGTGCATGGCCTTCCCGTTACTATTACCACATTGTTAGGTCAGAAGTCGGTGCTTTGGGGTTACAGTGACGACCTGGGGGGGGTTACAGTCTCCCATGGGTGCAGGAAGATGCTTCTGTGGCATGGAGGCCAAGGACTGAAGGGGGTGATGCAGTGGGAGGATGTCCGGGTGGAGAGTGTGCGGGACAGTCCTGAGGAACAGCGCGGAGGCTGGGAGCTGCAGCGGGGCGAGCGAGGAGGAGCCTGGAGGTGACATCCGAGGGGCCCCAGACTCCACTCACGCAGGCCTCGCAGGTGCCAGCAGAGACCGGCTTTGAGCAGAGGATGGACAGGCTCCCCCTGGCTGCCTCTGGACTGGGGTGGGGGCAGGAGCACGGAGGTTGGCGAGGCGGCCACCATGCTGGTCCAGGTGGGTGATGATGGGGACTCCGGCCATGAGGGTGGGAGAAGAGGTAGGATCCTAAATATACTTCGGAAGCAGAGGCTTTGGGGTAGGGCTAAGATGGGTTGAGGATGAATCCAGGGTTTTTGGCCAGATCTCCTGGGAGGACCGAGTGTCAGTTTTCCAAGCCAAGAAGGAGGGTGAGCAGCTGGCTGAGGAGGGAAGATGGAGAGCTCGGTTGGGGGTGAGTGAGGGCGCAGGCGGCCGCCGGCCACGTCCCAGGGCCCTGGGTGGGGGCAGAAGCCTGGGCCGGGGGTGGCCTGCTCTGCCAGCCCCTCTGTCTTCTCTGTTGCAGGAGCCGCCCCCCGCAGAGCCGGCCCAGGGGCGAGCCAGGGCCCCCCCATCCCCGGGATGACCTCGGCCGGCAGGACCAACCCCTACAGTATCGTGTCATCGGAGGAGGACGGGCTGCACCTGGTCACCATGTCGGGCGCCAACGGCTTCGGCAACGGCAAGGTGCACACGCGGCGCCGGGGCCGAAACCGCTTCGTCAAGAAGAACGGCCAGTGCAACATCGAGTTCGCCAACATGGACGAGAAGTCGCAGCGCTACCTGGCTGACATGTTCACCACCTGCGTGGACATCCGCTGGCGCTACATGCTGCTCATCTTCTCGCTGGCCTTCCTCGCCTCCTGGCTCCTGTTCGGCGTCATCTTCTGGGTCATCGCCGTGGCCCACGGCGACCTGGAGCCGGCCGAGGGCCGCGGCCGCACGCCCTGCGTGATGCAGGTGCACGGCTTCATGGCAGCCTTCCTCTTCTCCATCGAGACGCAGACCACCATCGGCTACGGGCTGCGCTGCGTGACGGAGGAGTGCCCGGTGGCCGTCTTCATGGTGGTGGCGCAGTCCATCGTGGGCTGCATCATCGACTCCTTCATGATCGGCGCCATCATGGCCAAGATGGCTCGGCCCAAGAAGCGGGCGCAGACCCTGCTGTTCAGTCACAACGCCGTGGTGGCCCTGCGCGACGGCAAGCTCTGCCTCATGTGGCGCGTGGGCAACCTGCGCAAGAGCCACATCGTGGAGGCCCACGTGCGGGCCCAGCTCATCAAGCCGCGGGTCACCGAGGAGGGCGAGTACATCCCACTGGACCAGATCGACATCGACGTCGGCTTCGACAAGGGCCTTGACCGCATCTTCCTCGTGTCCCCCATCACCATCCTGCATGAGATCGACGAGGCCAGCCCGCTGTTTGGCATCAGCCGGCAGGACCTGGAGACGGATGACTTCGAGATCGTGGTCATCCTAGAGGGCATGGTGGAGGCCACGGCCATGACCACGCAGGCCCGCAGCTCCTACCTGGCCAACGAGATCCTGTGGGGCCACCGCTTCGAGCCTGTCCTCTTCGAGGAGAAGAACCAGTACAAGATCGACTACTCCCACTTCCATAAGACCTACGAGGTGCCCTCCACACCCCGCTGCAGTGCCAAGGACCTGGTGGAGAACAAATTCCTGCTGCCCAGTGCCAACTCCTTCTGTTACGAGAACGAGCTGGCCTTCCTGAGCCGCGATGAGGAGGACGAGGCCGATGGAGACCAGGACGGCCGCAGCCCCCAGGCCCGGCATGACTTTGACAGACCCCAGGCCGCTGGCGGCGGCCTCGAGCAGCGGCCTTACAGACGGGAGTCGGAGATCTGAGCCTCCATGGGCCAAGGTGCAGCATCCGCCCCGCCAGGGAGAGGCCCGGCGTCCCGCGAGGGCCCTGGCTTGGAGCAGAACGGGCCAGGTGCCCCGGTTGCAGACTCAGTAGCGTTTTAGATGTTTTATGTTTCTTCACAGTGGCCTGGTAAGGTTGGCGGGAGAGTGGGCGGCCAAAGTGGGCCGCCCCTGGCCTCAGAGGCCGGAGCAGGTGCAGGGGCAGGGAGGGGGCCTCTTGGGGTCCGGGCCAGGAGCCAGGGGCTTCTGCCTGAGGATAGAACTGCAGCCTGCCCGGAGGTGGCTCCACAGCCATCCAGCCTCTGTGGGTGAAGGCTGGCCGGCTGCAGCGCATCTCGCTGGTTTTTAACTTGGGGAGAAACACCGGTTTTGGCTTTCTCAACCTTAGCTTGAGTAAGACTGTTTACAAAAAAAAAAAAATTAACACATGATTGACAAAAAAAAAATTAATTTGTGGGGGTTATAAAACGGACAGTTAGAATTCCACTGGTCTGCCAAGGTGCAGGCTGTTCGACGGGGGCTCCACGAGGTTCCCCGAGGCTGGACAGGCCTCTCCTCTGTGAAGGCCGGGTGTGTGCTGGGTGACGCAGCTGTGCGTGCAAGCTCGGGGCTCATCCATGGTTCCTTCTGCTCACGGGCAGATTAGATGGTGTTTGTGATAGAGAAACCAAGACCATGTTAATGATCATAATAAAAGCTTTCCAGAGTCATAGAGGTGGGGGTAGGGGCTGGGAAAAAACTAGTTTGAACTTTTTGAGTTTGACTTTTTGTACCTTAGAGGTGCGTCTCAGGGCTGGATATGGGACCTGCCTGCCGTGGAGGGCCCGCTCACCACCCCCCCAAATGCACACCAGATTTTCCTGTTTTCCTTCTCTCTCCTTTTCTGCCCAATAGCCCCTTCTACAGTGAGGGACGCTTGGAAAATGTTGGAGTAGATGGCTCTGTGGGAAGGGAGGGCGGGTTCCCAGACAACCAGGGAAGCAGATTGGCCCCATTCCCACTGGACCCCAGTGTGAGTCGTGCCTTAGAGACCCCGGGTGGGCCAGCCCCAGTTGTTTCTGTTTTTATCGGACTCGCCCGGCCTCCCAGCTGCCCCCGATTCCACCATAAAGTCCTCACCAGCCTGCGTGTCTCAGAGGCCGGGCGGTCCCGGTGCTGTCGGCCCCCGGGGCAGCACAGGCGAGTGCAGGTGGCTCCCAGCCGGGCTGCCCCAGCTGAATGGCAGAGGGAGGACCTTAGACGAGGTGTGCACTTGTCAGCCGAGATGACCGCGAGTGGCACTTGCATCCAGGCACCCTCATCAGGAAGAAGTTTGGAGCTGTCGGCTCTGCTGGCCCGGAAGCAGGCCCCTGGACCACGAGCTGCCCCGTGTGGGCTTGTTCTTGGCACAGGATGCAGCTGGCGGGCATGGAGCTGGCCAGGCCCTTCCCAGGACAGCTAAGAATTTTGTCCTCTCAAATGACCCGGCCTGTAAGGAAGTCCTTAATTAGAAAGCCCACACGTGTCTCCCCAGCCTGCCGGCCTAGGCCACTCCGACCCGTGCCCTCCAAGACAGCTAGGCACCCAGGACTCTGGCCCAAGTGGGGAAACTGAGGCAGAGTGCAAGGTCACGCAGGGGGTGGGTGGGTCTTGGGAGGCAGGGAGAGGCCAGGGGCCTGGGGTGGGGGCTCTTGCCTCTCCCCTCCTCCTCCACCAACCCCCAGGGCAGCTGGAGACCTGGCCAGAGGTCAGAGGCCTTGGAGGGTCTGGGCATGAGCTCTCATACCCACAAACACCATGGTCCCATACCCCGAGGGATGTGTGACTGCCAGCATCCTGCCCCGGCCTCAGTTCTGGCTGGGATGGTTCGGACAGTGGAAGCAGCTCTTTCGTCTCAGGATCTGCTGGAGGGGCCTCAGCTCCTTCCCAGCCCAGGGCCTGCCTTCCAGTCCTCAGCCTGGTTGGCTCTCTCCGTTTTAGCTCTGAGGGAGCAAGGGTAGCGTTGATGCGGGAGGGCTGTCCTGCCCACCCCCACCCAGATTGTCAGGCTGAGCCAGGGAGGGATGAGGCGGCCCCAGCGACTTGGGGCTGGCATAGGGGCCTGCGTTCCGCTCTGCCCGGCAGCCGGAGATCCTTCCAGAGCTGGGTGGGCCAGGGTTCCACTGCCACCATCCAGAGCAGAGCCCAGGGACTCTGGGTCCCCCAAGGCCCATGCTGCCTCGGTGGCTTGGTGCACCTCCTCTCAGGCCTGTGTGCCCCCCAGGCCCGCGCTGGATGGTTCAGCCCCAGACCCTGCGGGAGAGCACCCTGAGCTGCCTTTCATCTCTCGCCAAAGGCAGATGCTGCGTTTTCAAACTCTTCTGCCCTCTTTTTTTCCTTCCCTGTATTTATTTATTTATTTATTGCTTGTGCTAAAGACCAAAATAGTCTCCCTCTTTAGTGCACTTGAAACGGGAGGGTGGATGGGAGGAGCCGTGTGTGTGCAGACCAAGGAGTCTGTTGTCCCTGGGGAGTGTGTGCCGGATTGGGGGGGGGTTGCCCATGTATGTGCGTGCGTGCGCACGTGTATGTGCGTGTGCGGGTGTGTGTACCCATTTACTCCCACCCTCGCCTTCCCAGGCACTGGGATTTCCAAGAAGTTTCTTGACAGCCTGAACCAGGAGGTGTGGAGGTTGGAGTGGGCCAAGACCGTGGCCTCTGGGGCCGCCCTTCTCCCTGAGACACCGAGCTGCTTATGTGGGAAAGGGGCCGTGCTGGGGGGTGTGTGTGTGTGGGTGTGTGAGCACCGAGTGTGTGGATTCACAGGTGCAATCATCGTCATCCCTGTTCAAGCAAATGTGTGCAATTACGGCTTTGCCTGAGTGCACGAGCGTGTGGGTTCCCAGTTCGTGGGACTGTCGTACAGATGTGTGCCCGCGATGAGCTCCCTATGTGTGTGTGTCTGGGCTGATGAGATATATACGTGGTATGTACGTGTGTATATACACACACGTACTTCTATGTATTTTTGCCCAAAGGTGCGTGTGTGTGAGTGTGTGTTTTATACGCGGGCATTGGTGTAATGTTTGCCAGGCTCTCCGGCTGGGCACGCAGCGCTCAGGACGGACACCGGCTGCGGCCATCGGCACAGCTGAACGCAGCAGTCCTGCTGGCCCTCTGCCCTGGTTATGTCCACACGGGAATGCGTGCACCGTGTGTGCCGGCGTGAGGCTTTCGTGCCCGCGGGCACAAGGTGTGTGTGGGTGAGCGCTTGCATGTGGATGGCGTCTGCATGGGTGCGTGTGTCCCCGTGAACACGCAAGTGCACGTGGTACATTTGTGTGGCAGTGGTGCCGGGCTCTGCGAGCAGGGCTGGTTCCTGTCTGCTGCGGGCAGTGTGTATGGGCACGTGTGAGCGTGTGCAGGTCCCAGGGGTGTGTGCACACGAATGTCCGTGGAAGCGGTGTGTCCACGTGCGCGCCCGCGCATGCTGCTTGGGACATGGTGGCCACCCCCCCGTGCCCTGCTGGTGCTGTGTTCCCACCCCCCCCCGGTCCCTGCCTGCCCGAGGGTCCCGGCGGGGGCCGGGGGGGCGGGAGCGGGGGCCTGATGGGAAGGAGGCCCCTGCACAGGGGTGTCTGCCCTGCGTGAGGTCATAGAATGTCCAATCTATTTTAAATGGTGAAACTGGAGAATTTTCATGTTATTTTCAATACATAGCGGTATCTAAAGACATAGGCCACGAGACTAGACCACATTAAATGCATTTTGATCTCTTGGAGTGCCACCGTGTGGAGATGTGTGTTTGAAAGTCCCTGCCTGGCATGCTTGGGCTCCTTCAGCCCACTGTGACCTGGGGCCTGGGGGGCCGGGGTGGGGGTGGGCCATGGTAGGAGCCCTGGGAGAGAGGACAGAGCCCCGCCCGCCCGCAGACCCCCGCGCGCTCTTCCAGCGGGCTCACGGCCCCGCAGTCCCCGGTGACCGCACACCCTGTCCCGCACGGGCCCCGGAGTGTGCCCTCCCACCTCCTCACACTGGATGTGACACTTCCCCAGCCGGATGACCTGGGGCCACTGCCCTGTCCTCCCTGGGCCCACACCTCCCCACTTTTCTCCTTCCTTCTGCAGCCGTTCGGTGAGCGCGTCCACACACGGCCGTGTGCTGCGTGCAGGAGAGCGGTAGCTCTTCTCTGGGACTCCGTCCCCCGGGAGGCCCCGCGAGCCCGCAGCCCTGGTTCTCACCACAGGACAGAAAGCTGCGGTGGGCAGGGGGGCCCGAGGACCCCTACTGCAGCCTGGCACGGTGACAGGGAGGACCTGGAGCCGTGATTTCCCGGAGGGCAGACGGGGGCCGCCGGCACGAGCAAGGGCACACGCAGGGAGGAAGACAGGCGAGGCCCATGTGGGGGAAAGGAGAATTTTATCTGTACCAAGGGCTCGGTGTCTGGGATGTCAGTGGCCTTCTGGCAAGAGGCCCACAGGCAGAAAATTCTTCCCTTTGCCCCGACTAGTTCCCTCCCTGGAGAACTCCTCTGCATCAGTGAAGGACCCCAGGGAAGCTTTCATTCTGTGGGATTCAGGTGATGATTCCAGACCACAAGATAAGGAGCCCAGGCAGTGGTGACATGCAGGGATGAAGGACAGGAGGCCGGGAGCGGCCGGAGGCAGGGCATGAAGGCTTCTTGGAGGCTGTTCGTCTGGGTTGAACCTGGAGACAGGGAGCCCTTGAAGGTGGTTGGCTTGATCTGGGGGTGAGGGTGGGGCTCCCCTCCCCTAGCCCCGGAGCCCTCCTTGGTACCCCAATACTGGAATCTAAGCCAGTTGGGGCCAATGAGCTATGGCCTGCCCCAGTCCCCCAGGGCACTAGTTTCCACAGACGGGTATGGGGCCCCAGTCAGCGTCTGACAAATATCTATGACTCCAACTTGGTGGCGCTGGAGCTCAGCAGTCTTGAGACCTCAAGAAGGTACTCCCTGTCCTGCCTGTGACCCTCAGTCAGACCCCAGGCCACTCTCTTGCTTGGTGACCTGTATTGAATTCCTTTTCCCCTGTGGCCTCAGTCTCCCTGTCAAAAAAAAAAAGGGGGGGTGTTCATAATAAATGCTAGCTCGCACGCTTGTGGAAAGAACGAGAGGGAGCAAGAACGTTGACTTGGCAGCCGCCTTGCACGTACTGGGCACGGGCCCTTGAGGTGGCGCCGGCGCGTGGAGGGAGCAGGCAGCTCCTCGTGCCACAACACCAGGGTGTGTGTGGTGAGCCCGTAGCTTCCCTTGGGCTTTCCTGCCTCCCCGAGGGTGAGATGAGTCCAACTCGGAATCTGCTTTAACAAAGGTAGAAAAGGGGTGGGGTTGGCTGAGCACTCCCTGACTTGACGTTTGAGGTCCCTGACGTGCCAAGTGTAACCGTTTTAGAGGAAATCAGTCCAGGGACACTAAGGGACTTTCCAGGGAGCTTAGTTACTGGAGCTGGGATCCTGCCCTGGACTCAGTTTATCCTTCCAAAAGTCCATCTCCGGCAGGGGAAGGCCCCAGTGACTCAGGAGGGAATCACACATGGGTTTCCCCTCAGTGTGGAGGGGCAGAGATCAGAGGTGTCTGTTTGCAACCTGGGGATAGTGGGGGCTTCAAAGGATATACACCATCCCACTAAGCCCACCATCCACCCAGCACCAGAGTGGTCTTAAAGCCAGAATCAGGCCTTGTAACCCCACTGCCTGCAGCTCTCCCAGCTTTCCTGCTGCACTGAAAATACAATCCTAACTGCTTCTCCAGCCTGTGAAGTCCTGTCCCATCTTGCCCTGACCTCACCCAGCTCATCCTCTTCTCCCTTTCCCCCTGCCCCTCTCCTCTAGGCACCCTGCCTCCTTTTGGTGCCTTGAGAGCACTGCATTTCTCTCTTCACCCCAGGACCTTTGCATATGCTATTCCTCTGCCCAGAGCACTTCCCCTTCAGATCTACCTCCTCATCCTTCCAGCCTAAGCCTTCCCTGGCCCAGGGTAAGAGAGATCCATGAAGGCAGGGATTGTCATCTCTTTCACTTGCTGCTGGGTCTCCAGTGCAGGGCGCAGTATGTGCTTCATATGTATTTGCCTCATGGATGGCTGGGTGGAAGGAGTACAGGTCCTGTGGGCCTCCCACCCAGAGAGAGGTCTGCGGGTCTCATCAGCATAGAACCCTCACGTCTTCCCACTGACCCAGCTTGGACAGAGCCTACTGCACCAAGCAATGGTAATATGGAGCGATCCCTGAGTGGCAATGGGACACACGCAGGGTGCCATGGGAGGAAAAGCAAGGGGAGGGACCAAGGTGGGTCCCCCAAGGAAGTGACATTTCCTCTGAGATCTAAGGGATGACTGTGCCTTTGCCAATCACGTGAGGAGTTCCCAGGGAGAGGGGCTGGCACAAGCAAAGACCCTGAGGTGGGAGAGCACAAGAAGAAGGAAAAGGAAGCAGCTTGGTGGGGGCGGGGGGTGGGGAGGCCAGGGAAGACCATGGGGGGCCCGGCCCCCGTTCCTAGCACTCAGTCTCTCGGGCCCACGCCGCAGCCTCCCTGCATCTCCCTCCTGGAATGTGAGCCTCTGGAGAGCAGGCACTGTTGTTCTGCCAGGTTCACGGTCCGAGACCCGGACCCAGTAGGCGCTCAGTCAGTTGAGGAGGTGCTCAGTCAACCTCTGGCTCTCCCACAGCTGTGGAAGGACCGCAGCAGTCAGAGGTCAGTAGAACTGTTACCAGCCTTATCCCTGTGCGAGCCAATCTCCAGCCCTGGGGTGTAGGGACCCGCTGCACACAGGCTTTGACAGTCTTCTGTGCTTTAAATAACATTCTATCCAGTAAAGTTTTGAAATGTGCAACATTAAACACAGAGGGCTACATAGGAAACCCGTTTCACTGACTTGCAGTTATCACCATATGAGCAAATACATTTGTGTGTTTCCTCACCGACTGCCGCTCACCGAGACCCCCCCTTCACCCCGTCCAGCTGCCGTCTCCCCGGGGATGAGCACCACCAGGGGCTCCCAGCAGCACCGAGGGCAGGGCAATGCCCCCTGTTCGGCGGCTGGTACAACGGCCGCCGTTGGTTGCCTCCATCCTAAAAGGAAGAGAAAGCTAAATTTCTCTTCGAAGGCAAGCAACATGGAGATGTAAAGTCTTCACATCCAAGTGCTCGTGCCCTTAATGTTATCCATGGGCCCTTGAGGGTGTGGGGGCCCCGGCTCAGGGCCCCACAGGTTCCGTTCGGGCACGGCTTGCTGCAGGGAGGCAGGGCAGGCAGACTCTGTCTGCGAAGGATGTGATAGTAGATATTTCAGAAATCTGCAGGCCCCGAGGTCTCTGTGGAAGCTGCTGGCCCTGCTGCTGTGGGGCTAAAGCCGCCGTAGACCGTATATACACTAATGGCCTCCAGTAAAATCCATTAGCTATTAGGGACTGTGTTCCCATAAAACCTCGTTTATGGACACTGACATTTGAGTTTCATATAATTTTCACATGACATGAAATATTACTCTCCTTTTGATGCCTCCACCACCGTTAAGAAATGCAATAAGTACTCCCAGCCAGAGGGCCGTATGCAGGCAGGCCGTGGGCTGCGAGCTGCAGGTGCAGAAGCCTCATTTTCTGACTCCGCAGGCCTGGGACAGGCCGGAAACGTCTCTAACAAGTTCCCAGATAAGGCTATGCTGTTGGGGGGGCTCCGCTTTGAGAACTGCTGTTCCTTATCCGGGGAGATAGCCTGTGGCAGCAGGTGGATGGAGCCCCAGACGTTGGGGAGTGAACCCCCTAACCTAGGCTCTCATCCGCCTTGCGGGTGGGAGATTAGGGGGCCTGGCAATCCCTACAGAGATACCCGGCGGCGATGTAGGAGAGGAAAAGTCTTCCTTCTGTCCTCTTAGGTTCTCTACCTGGTGCCCTGCAGAAGAGATGGACAAAAGACGAGGAAGAAGAGCAACGCAAACAGACGTTTATTACCCCGCACATCAGACACACAGGGGAGAAGGCAGGGATGAGGAACTCAAAAGGACGCTGAGACAGCATCCCGGAAATGTTGTACGGATGAGGAACTGAGGTTCAAGGGGCAGAGGAGTGGGCCAGCAGCCTGTCCTGCGGCTCAAGCCAGATTTTTGATGCCCCTTTTCTCTCCTCACGCCCCGCTCTAGCGTCACATGCTGACCTTTCTGATCTGCACAGTTGGTTTAGCCCGACTATGATCTCTGTCCCACCGCTGCTGCTGGCTCCAGGCCACCATCATCGCTTCTTGGATGACTTGTTGTGTCCTCTCTGGCCCCCAGGCCCCTCTTGCTCTTCTTCACCTGGGCAAGGCGTGAGAGTGCCCCGGCTCTGGGCCTGGGGGACCTGGGCTCCCTGGCCCCCACAGGTCCCCTGAGGCACTGCGGGGAGGAGGCTCCGGCAGGCGGAGAGTTTGGCTGGACACAAAGGAGCGAAGCGGTGACGAGGCGCCTGGGTCCATCGTCCCTGACGCTGCCAGCTGCAGCCCCTCCCTGGGCCGCATCTGCAATCTGACTTCAAGCAGTGATGCTTTCTCATGGCCCTGAGAGCTGCGCCGGCGCAGGTGCCAGAGATCTTTCTTTTCCTTCCTGGATCAGTGCTGAGGTCATTGCTAAGGCCTGGGGCCATTCTTGCTCCCTGCTGAGGCTTGGCATAGAGGTCGAGCTGCAACTGCGAGACGGCAGCCCCTGCCAGTGTCTGGAGCAGTCCAGTTGCACAGGTAGTATATGACACAACCCCATCGGTGCCACTCACAACTGATACAACCGTGCAATCT